AAATCTTAAAACACTGAACTGACTTTATGCCAGTTGCAAAGTAAATAAATATTCACTTACCATTGGGAGTTTTCCTGCGCACCACTGCAGGGGGCTGCGGGCGGCTGGCGGCCACCGGGAGGGACAGGTCCAAGAAGTATTCCGACCGGTCCGAGTGGTGGAAGCATTCTTGGCATTCCAGTGTTGATACTAGGAAGCCGCGGAACACCTGAGGAGGAAGAAAGATTATGGTTATGATATGCTACAGACCTGCCCAGCCCAGCAGTTGCAGCAGCTTATATTTACGTGACTTAAATTAGCAGTATTTATCGCCCCCTTCAACTGCACTTTTGATTTGATGATTTTTGAATGTGTTGGTTGCGTATATAGTTGCTTTGGGCGTGCTCGCCTGTTATGACTGTATATTTGTGGTTAATAAATGAAATGAAATGAAAAAATGAAAACTTTTTAACAGCTGCCCTCTTCTTTTTATACTCTTTCGACCTCTCAACTCGCCCTCCCCCGATCCCATAAATCCTTGAGGTAGCAAATATTTCCAAAATCAGTTCAGTTGTTTCAAAATTATCAATCAAAAATGTTAACACACATTAAACTCACTCACTTCAAATTATTAGATTAACGGTTAGAAGAAAAGGTAAACACATATTATTATGTTAGGAAGCGAATGAACAACGCCTAGTTATATCATAGGTCCCGGTTGTTGTATGCAAAATCATTCTTAGGATTCAACTTACTTCTCTACTGGTGAAAAAAAATTTTTGTTTTGTATCTGCCATACCATAATTTTAGCAACACGCGTAAAACTAAACTACCATGGTACCGGAGGCCTGTAGTCTATAGAACTTGACCTTCTGCTTGATCTCTGCTTTGTGGTGTTACCCCACAGTATAATGCACTATGACAATGTCACTCATAATATACTTGATTGAACTAACGCCCACCTGCTCTGGCCTGAGCATGGTATCGGAGGCCTGTTGTCCGTAGAATTTGACCTTCTGCTTGACCTCTCCGTCCACTTTAGCTGGATCCACCTTCGAGTTCATGCCTAGGCTGCTAAGGATCACCGATTGGTAGCGACGGAGGTCCTCTGATCTGTAAGTGAAAGAAGAAATAGTTTAGATTACACTTTTTTTTTTCTCGATGTAAGTTTGCAGTGTAATGCCGGCTTAGAATAGTGTCACCGCATATCTTTCCCGTCGTAAGACTAGGATTTAAGAGTTGATGAATAATTGCAATTTTAGATGACTGGCTGACAACTTGTCCCTATGCACAGTCTTCTGAATTCCTCTCAAACTTTTGTCAAGATGTGATGTAAATGGCCGTTTCTTACAGTCGTTTACGCTCTGCCTACCGTGCAAGGGATATAGGCGTGATATAATGTATGTATTTTTGGTTTAGAATGGGGAACCGTACACTACATTTTGTTGTACACAACATGCCATTTTTAGGCCAATATCCTTCTCATATCGCAAAAAACTCCAACTAATGTTTACAAACATGTAAAACCTTCAATCGTAAAGAAAACGTAAGTTACAGGCAGCGGGCCAAGGTTCGCTAACCTTGCCCGCTAAATACGTAAGATACCTATTAAAGTCTGTTATAAATTATAATGTTATAATTTCCTTTTCCTGTAACTTTAACGAGGCAAACCAGTTTATTCTTTATTATCTAATGTTTTGTTACAATATGAAACACTAACTGAAAGCCTCAATCACGCCTACAATTCTTTGCGTGGTAGATAGCTGTTTAAAAGCAGATTTTGAGACAGCCAAAAAGTTTCAAGATACTTTTTACTGTAGCGACAGGTTGTCAACTTTCGCGTTTCGTATTTATTAACGTTTCAACACCTGTGGGATTAAAAAGGGTTAACGTTTTTCAATACTTAAGAGCAAACCTTAGACCTTCCTTAGACCCAAGTTTTCATCAAACGTGTTCCTCCAATGTTTGTATGAAAAGGCGGAAAATAGAAATCACTCTGGTATCTTGGCGATCTCATTATGGAGGACATTTATTTTAATGATTGTAACTGAATTTGTAGAACCTGTTATGTGACATAAATAAACTAAAATGTCCTCTTAATGCATTTTGGGCGTCAAGCGGATTGACCGCATACGAAACACCACCCGACGTTCAAGAACTGGCATAGCTGACGTAGGTTGCAAATCGGCCAAACTTAAGTGGGACTGGTCGGGGCACGTCAGCCGGATGCACCCAGAACGGTGGGCTAGAATCGTCACAGAGTGGACACCAGCTCAAGATGGAAATCGTCGAAGGCTTAGACCTCGTAAAAGATGGAGTGACGATCTTAGCTCATATCGTGAAGACTGGTAGGAGCTGAGTATGGATAGGGATAGGTGGAAAAAGGAAGGATAGGCCTTTTCCCAGCAGTGGGACACCATAGGCTGATAATAATAATAATAATCCCTTTTAATGGCATCATACGGTTACGTCACACTGAATAGTACGAAGGATTGAAAAGAAGTTAATAATAACGCAAGTCGGATGGAGTGGTCAGTTTCGCGGCGTCGAGTGGTAAACACTATCAAGGTCAAGATTATACTATTTGAAGATATCATGTTACGATTGCATTCGTCAGATTGTAGTAATACTCGTAGCTCAGTGGTTAGTATGCCTGCCTGCCACGCAAAGGTTCCGGGTTCAATTCCCTGTGGGGTCACTCACAAAGTTGATATTTATCACTTTGTGAATTTGTTCCCAGTCTGGTTAGGACATTGCAGGCTGAACCACCTGATTGTCCGCAAGTAGGTAAGATGGTTCCGTGCTTCGGATGGGCACGTCAAGCCGTCGGTCCCGGTTGCTGTCTATGATGGCGGTCGTTACGCAACCATGTCAGAGGCCTGCTCCTTGCAGTAGGCAGTTGAAAAACTCTGACACCAGGGTTCATCGGGTCGTTGAACGACTCGGTGTCCCACACGAAAAGAAGAAAACCCGACCGGAATGTTCCCCAAATGCTTGTGAGAAGGGAATAAGGTATTTTCCCATAGCCTTTAATAAGTAACCTTTTTTAATAAGTAGCCTTTGTTACTCACAGGGATGATGCAGTTTATAAACAGGGAAATATTTTTATAAGTTATACCGATTTTGTATTATTATAACCGAACGTGACAACTCTTCTCTCCAACTCATTCAACAGAAATGGGTCGAGTTTCTTTACATCTTTATACCATACTTTATACCGTGGAAATAGGTTGCTGCCTTTATAATAATAGTACCTACATTTGTGTACAATGCACTTTACTAAGGGAATCAGCTGCTTAGCTTATAATTCCTACACCACAAACGGATAACAAGTGTACAAGAACAAAGAAACAATAACATTTCGATAAGACTATTCCGAAAGGAAGCGTCAAGTTTATGTCCACTACGCAATTTCTGATAAATATAATGATAATGAATAAACACAAGTAAAAATAAACATAAGTGTGCCAATATTGGTTACATAATGTAATTGTGTAGTCGATAAGGGAGTTCAAAAACACTTTTGCAATCAGTATGAATACACAGAAAGGCCAGTAATATTTGGCAAAATCTACATACATGCATATATCATGCCTATATCCCTTACGGGGTAGGCAGAGCGTCAACTGCCAATTACACCACGTCTGACAAAAGTTTAAGAGTTACTAAGAAGGCTGTGTATCACCATAGTGACAGGTTGTCAGCCTGATGCCTAAAATTGCAATACACATGAACTCTCAAATACCTTAGTCGCTTCTTACGACACCCGCGGGAAAGATATGGGGTGATGCTATTCTAATCCGAAACCACACAACAACAGCTACCTAACAAGTAGAACAATATGTCTGTATCTCTTGCGGAGTGGGCAGTCATTGCAGGGATTGTGGATGGTCTCTCTCTCTCTCTCGTGTAGGACACAGAGTCGTGCAACGACCCGATGAACCCTGGTGTCAGAGTTTTTCAACCGCCTACTGCAAGTAGCAGGCCTCTGACATGGTTGTGTAACGACCGCCATCATAGACAGCAACCGGGACCGACGGCTTAACGTGCCCATCCGAAGCACGGAACCATCTTGCTTTTTGGACAATCAGATAGTTCAGTCTGCAATGTCCTAACCAGACTGGGAACAAATTCACAAAGTGATAAATATCATTTGTATTGACCCCACCGGGAATTGAACCCGGAACCTTCTGCATGGTAGGCAGTCATACTAATCACTGTGCCACATTGTGGGTGGTAAAATGGGGTGATGCTAGTCTAAGCTGGCATCACACGGCATGTGCGTGTTTATATCAATAATTAGTATAGACTCACTTCACTAGTCATTATTGTAAATTAATGAACAAAGACAGGCAACAAAGAAGTGGAACAAAATTACAGCAAATTATTATGATTTATCTTTCTTTGTTTATTTAAAACTGGTATTGCTTGTAATTGGCATTTGTTTATACATATATTTATTTAAAAAATGTTTTTAGGCTGTAAGCTCCCCAAAAAAAATAAAGTAAACTGACAAAGGGAAATTACATACATAAATATATCACGCCATGCGGGGTAGTCAGAGCGTAAACGGTTTAAATTACACCAAATCTGACAAAAGTATGAGAGTTATTCTGAACACTGTGTATCACCATAGTGACAGATTGTTAGCCTGTCACCTAAAATTGCAATACACATCAACTCTCAAATCCTTTATTCGCTTCTTACGATACCTACGGGCAAGATAGGGTGCTATTATAAGCCGGTACCACACGGCGTGATGACCATAGATAGATACATAAATCACGACTTTATCCCGTGCGGGGTAGGCAGAGTTTGGACGACCGTAAAAATGCGATCGCAATCGCCATATCTGACAAACATTTGAGGACGTGTATCTGTACATAGTGACAGGTTGCCGCCTAAAACTGTTATACTCATGACGCCCTTTAGTCCCTCAGCCGCCTCCTACGACACTCGCGGGGAAGAAACGGAGTGATGCTATAATAAGCCGGCACCACACGGCATGATGATAGGCGGCGGCATCGATTACTCAGTGGCAGAGCGGTGGGACATTAACCCATGCAGCGCGGGTTCGAGATCCGGTCGATGCATGACATTTTTTCATTTTTTTTATATGATAATGATTTTTTTCATGGGGTTTTTACCTGACAGCCTCCAGAAGATGCCTGAGTAGCTCATGCGCGTCATGCTGGTCACCTCCACCAAATTGGGGCAGTTTGTTGACGAGAGCAGACAGCAACTTGCGCGGCGTGTACACTCCGCCTTCACCTGTGTAAAACAATACTTTGTAAGAAACTGGGTTTTAGTTAGATCACAGGCATTATGATATGAAATCATCATCTTACTGCCCTTATCCCAAATCAGTTGGGGTCGGCGCCACACGTTTGTTTGAATTCAAAATCAAGTAGCAAAAGGATTTGGCTATGTTTTATGATCGGCCGCCTACCTGACGTCAAAACTCTTTAGGAATGCTATTGTAGGTGGTATCACCTCCTCCACCATGGGGTTGACCATAGTCGACAGATATTTAGCCGAGGTCAAAAACTCTACCTCGCCTTTTACGACACACCCTGAGAGGACTAGGGGTGGCAGTATTCTTAGCTGCTACCACAATAAATTATGATATGAAATTTGTAAGTAAAATGAAACATTGAGATCTTATTTTCAGTACATTCCAGTTTGAAGTAAGGACTATGAATGAAACAAAGTTTGCTGGTACCAGCAATGAATTTAAATATTGCATTATTAAGTTACTGTATCTTTCCAATCGGTACCTATGCCAATTTATGTCAACAATAACTGTAGTTTTTTGCTAGTAATTATTATGCAATCATTTCATTTCCAGCATATAACAATGCAAATCTTCACTAAGCAATGGAAAATTGGCTAATTAAAAACAGATTAAAGTATTTTTCTCATTGAATTTCAGTCTCACTTATTTTTTGTAATGAATGTGCATATTTAGCATTCCATTTAGATAAAAATACCTCAACTCAACAGTTTTAGCAAAATGAAATTATACTGTGGAAACAATAATATTGGTTAGCAATGAGTAAAGTTACGATTGCTATACATAGTTAGATAACTGTAGAAAGCATTTCGAGTGTGTGAAAATTGGCATACTAACACTAGGCTACCCAAATCTAATTTTGTGAAGAACTAGGTCAGCTAAAAGTCATCATCCTATTTAGGTTGTGTTTCTATCTATAAATAAGTTACAAGCATATTAAAAGTTGCCAAATACTACCAACAATGTTTGTTACTTATCAAACAACATGAAGCTACAATGTACATGTAGATTGCATAATAAAAATAACATTGTAGCTTGTAAATAATTAAGTTTATGATCTGTAGCATTGATGTACTACAACCCTAGATTTAGCGCCTCATACAAAATTACGCTAAGATTTTGTCACCTACTCAACTAAACATTCATACATAGCGATATATAGATTCATTGCTTCCACTCGATTCAAAATATCACAACGAACCTCGCCGTAATTTATTGAACTCAGCCTTCTTTGTCCACTATTAGGGTCGAAATTCTAGTGTCTACACTCCGAACTTACGACCATTCGCAAATACTTTTCTAATATAAGCAGCAATTAGGCTAACCTTTAACTAGACTTCATACACTGTTTCTTATATTGAGTGGTTCACTTCAAATAAAACCAGTGCAGCAGCAATGTATATTAAATCGGCGCCTACTTTTAGAGTTTTACTCCGTCCTTTTCACACGCAACGCTGAGTTGTCGTGTAAGAGAAGGACAGCTGCGAAGTAGTTGTTTTAGATTATTTATGATTAAAATTATTACTTTTATGAGTATTACTGCATAAATTGCAATAATTATACCACAATAAGATGAATAATGTATATACTTACTTAAAATACGACACACTGTCCTGTTTTTTGTGCTTTGTACTGACATTTTGCAGATTTTTAGCGCGCACTTGGTCATGTTAACGGCTTCGCGGCCAGCCACGCACTGTGGAAAAGGAGTGCTCGCTTGCAAATTGTGCACCCCTTTACCGGCCCACTTTTTGAGCGTACGCGCGTAATCTAGGGTTATTGTAGATCAATGATCTGTAGTTATTTTATTATGCTTTCACAGTACAAATAAATATCATTGTTTGATTTATTATTATCTTCATTCAAATAAAGAACTAACTTCATAGTCACTGATCATTTAACAGTAAAAACTTGAAAGTGTTGTGAAAAACTGGCAGTATTAGCTGTTTTGCATTATTGTAAACAAAGTTTCATAAAAACTGGAAAGTAGGACTTTTTACAAGATGAAAGATTTGTTTTATGTAAAACCGCTGGGCTAACCTCTATCTATTACATATAAACTTGAAAACCCAGACTTTTGAAGTAGATTAATTTACTTTCACTTTCAATAGCTTCTATTTACTTTTCTTTAGGAATTGAAGTGTTATACAAATCATGTCTAACTTTCTGTACCAATTTTCATGACTTAAAATGTTCTAGTCTTCTTCTTCTTTTTGTGTGGGACACTGAGTCGTTCAACGACCCGATGAACCCTGGTGTCAAAGTTTTTCAACCGCCTACTGCAAGTAGCAGGCCTCTGACATAGTTAATGTTCTAGTACTGAGTATAGAGATAATTTATAACAGTGATGTAAACACCATGTAATGTCTGTGTAAAATAGCATCACACTAATTCTTTCTATGAATGCAAAAATTTACACTGCTCTGGCCATCCAAGTGCAATGAATATAGCAATACCCTCCATTAGGAAGGGTAGGAGGGTCTAAAAGACAAAAAGATTCACACTTATACGAGAGCGGAAGGTACATCAAGAACGATGATTGATTTTGTAATTGTGGATGAAAGATTGAAGAAGAATGTTTTGGATACTCGAGCATATCGCGGTGTCGGCATTGACTCAGATCACTTCCTGGTGATATCCCGAATAAGTGGTCTCTTCAATCGATGGCGGCACAGAGTGACTGAGCGTACTAGTGTTTTGCAAAGAGTGAAAGTGGAAAAATTGCAAGAAAAGGAAGTAAAAAAGGAGTATATTAGAAGATTGAAAGAGGAGTTCAATGGCTTGGATGAGATGTCCGACATTGAAGAAGGATGGAAAGGATTTAAGAAAGGTGTTGTGGATGTTGCGATAGAAGTGTGCGGAGTTTCTAAAAGGATGAAAGGAAAATCACAACAGAGTGCTTGGATGAGTAAAGAAGTGCAAGAAGTTGTGCAAAAGAAGAAAAAAGCATGGTTGGATTGGTTAGCTACTAAAGCTAACCGAAGAATGTTAAAAGCGACGGATGAGGATGTAGCGAAAGCAAGAGAAGACTATAAAAGTGTGAAAGATGTGGTCAAGAAGACAGTGGAAAGAAAGAAAGATGAGTATAAGGATGAGTTTGATAGGAGGCTATCTGAAAACTTTCGTTCCAACTTGAAAGTTTTCTGGAAATCCATAAGGACAGCTCGAGGAAAAACAGCATCATCCGAGTTGAGTAGGATTCGAAGCCAGGATGGTAGTATAATAAGAGATGAAGAATGTGTATTGAAAAGATGGAAGGAATATTTTGAAAGTTTATTTGAGAAAGAAGACGTAGCGCAAGAAATACCTACGGAAGAAATGAATGAAATTGTGAACGAAAGCGAGATTGAAATGGATGAGATCGTGAAAGCATTGAAAAGCATGAAATCTGGAAAGGCTGCAGGATATGATAGAGTATCGGTCGAAATGCTGAAGGCTGGCGAAGGTGTAGTGGCTAGTCAGCTGTACCTCCTTTTCAACCTTTGCTGGAAAAGCGGTCGAGTGCCAAGTGATTGGTGCAAGGCTGTTATAGTACCATTGTACAAGGGAAAAGGGTCGCAGCTAGATTGCAAAAATTATCGCGGTATAAGCCTTCTTAGTGTTGTCGGCAAACTGTATGCAAAGGTGTTGATTGAAAGAGTGGTGAAAGAAACGGATGAGAAAGTATGGGATGCTCAGGCAGGGTTTCGTAAGGGGATGGGATGCACGGATCAGGTCTTTTCCTTGCGGTGCATAGCTGAAAAGTTCCTGGCTAAAAACCAGAAAGTCTATTGCGCATTCGTGGATTTGGAAAAAGCCTATGACAGAGTGGTGAGGAATGAATTGTGGTCGGCTCTATCCATGCATGGGGTAAGCAGTATCTTGATATCCTTATATAAGGATTCCAGTGCTTGTGTCAGGATCAACGGCGCATACACGGAACTGTTTAATATCGAGAAAGGTGTTAGACAGGGCTGTGTTGCGTCACCATGGCTGTTTAATCTATTCATGGATAGTTGTTTGACAGATTTGAAAGAGAGTGAATGTGGACTAAGAATGAACGATTTACTCGTCAAATGTCTGCTCTATGCTGACGATCAAGTTATTCTTGCATCGTCGGCTGAAGAGTTACAGGAGATGGTAAATATTATGAATGAGGCTTTGAAAGAGAAAGGAATGAAAGTAAATGTTAGTAAGACGAAAGCAATGGTTTTGAAAAAGAGGATAGTACGACAGAGTGTAATATTATAATTGAAGAGGAGAGAGTGGAGCAAGTGAAAGAGTTTGTATATTTGGGATCAAAATTTACATCAGATGGAAAGTGTGAAAGTGATATTGAAAGGAGGGTGAATGCCGGCAACATGGTGAATGGAGCGTTGCATGCCTTTATGAATAGCCAGAAAGTGTCTAATAAGGCCCGTCTGGCTGTGCATAGAGGGTGTTAGTTCCAACACTTATGTATGGGAGTGAAAGTTGGGTATGGCAGAAAAAACATGAAAGTAGAATAAATGCGGTAGAAATGAGAGCGTTAAGGAGTATGATAGGAGTAAAATTGAGTGACAGGATTAAGAATAGCGTGATAAGGGAACGTTGTGGTATAAAAGAAGACGTAGTGACTGGTATAGAAAAAGGAATGCTTAGATGGTTTGGCCACGTTGAGAGGATGAATGAAAGAAGATTAACGAAACAAGTATATATGGCGAGTGTGGATGGGAACGTTGGAAGGGGAAGACCTAGACGGACGTACCTTGATCAAATCGGGGACGTTTTAAAGAAAGGCCAGGTCAAGAGTACCCTAAACCGACGAGCGTGCATGAAAAG